GGAGAGGCAAGGATGGTATCAGACCATCCCCCAGATGCAGGAAGCTGGGTATCCTTCCCTGATTCCTGCTCCCATTGCTCCTCAGCTGGGGATGGAGGAGTCTTTGTATAAGGAGCTGCTCCCACATTCAACCCCTGTGAATCTGGACCTCTCGTACACAGATACCCCACTAAGCGTAACCTGGTACATTCAGAACCTCTCTAGCCCTCCCATACCCAAACCCCACCCCAATGGACCTCAGCCCCTGCATCTGGAGCCTCTCTGAACCTAGATCATGCCCCACTGAACTCCCTGCACTCAAACTCCAACCCTGACAAGGAAAGGACTGGTTCCCAGCAATATGCTGCAGTTAACCAACAGCTAGCAATATCAGTATTGCTATTAAGTGGAATCTACTGTGGGTGTTCTTTAAGTGTCCCACCCAAGTAACAACTAGGATTAATGCTATTTAATTTATGAGATGTGAGAGGATCAGTTTAAGATGGTGAACTGTATCTTGGTCCTAGTAAGTAATAGTGAGTCTCACTTGTTGATACACTAGGCCAGTACTTTTAAGGAAAATTGCATACTTTGCAGCTAAATCTTTCCTAACAGATTTTTAAATATATCCGCACTTGAATAATCATCCCTGGTTATTTTATTTGGGTACAATTAATTTCTTGTTAAGAGGGCTCAACATAAAACCTAAGCACAAAGATTAGGTGAAACTGAAATAGTTCATATGTTTTGAGCTGGCCCTCTGTACAAATGTAAATTGCATTATCTGTTAGAAAGTCCTGCATATTAAAATTAAATATACTGGTAATTAGTACATATGAAATGGCAACTTTTCCAACTTTAATATTTCAGTTTTTAACATTCCCCAAATATATTAACCTAAAATCTGGATTAATGCCCTTTCAAACATTCAAACCTGTTGTTGATTTGTTGCAGAGCACAATAATGTCTGGAACAATATTATTTTTGTATTATATTTCCATAATTTAAGAAGAGTCAAATTGTTTTAAGCAAACTATTGATTCTTAGGATCATTTACATTTAATTTTTTTTTCTCCGGAGAAAATCTGTACAGTCAAATTTGAAATCCACAAAGAACAAAACCCTAAACAAAAAACACAAGTGCTAGCAGAATCTCCTGTACCATATTTTATCAGTGCTCGCTACAAATTATTCTCTTTTGCCAAAAGAGGATGCCATCTAGTATCCAAGAATTATTTAGGATTCTTGGATACTAATATTGATGTTCAAACTTTAAAATACAATAGAGGCATCTCAATTTGCATTAACAAGCCACTGTAGTTTATTGGACTGGAGTCCAGCTGAAGGCCCACTGAAGTAAATGAAAAACT